CCTGGTTTAGTTTCAGAGATCAATTGATAGAAACGGATGGATAGTAAAATTTCACATGTTACTTTGCCATATGTAAAGTATATAATATAATAAATGACAATTTATAATATAATAATAATTATTTATAAACTTGCATTCAAATTTGTATAATTTAATAATTATAAGTATAACCAAGCATTTTTTTTACATATTAATTTAAAAACATTATAAAATGCATTCTCCCAAACAATTATAATCACATTAAATATGCATATTATATTTCATGTAGATGTAAAGTTATGAAATATTTATTAATTAAAAAACGACGGCCATGCGTTCAACCTCGTCTTTTTCAGGAAATGTTTGTATTAATTGTATGTTTGTATTACTTTTGTTTCGTAATATTCAATGTAAGGTGACGGTCTTTATGTGAAGGCCTGTAGTATAGTTCGAACAAAGGAGCTAATTATATTAATAACTTTGTTGTTCTTGAGATATCCGCTGAGTTTCATAGAGAGGACGATAGATGGCGCTGGTAATAAATTATTATACAAGTATGGCCGCGAGCTTTTTGAATGTTTCTGACGTAAATAACTTTTGATAGCGTTATTTTTGTTTGTATTTATATTTTAATTAGTTGTTATTGAAAAATATCGTAATTTTCTAAGTTTTCCTTTTGAATAATTTAAAATAAGTAACAAACTCTTGTGGTCTCAAAAGAAACTGATGGGTTGGTCTAGCATTTGCTACGAATTGAAACTTTAAATACATCCAAAACTTAACTTTTTACTAGAAGTTTGTTATGTTAGTTCAAACACTAGCATTTTACACATAACATCTTCGTAGCCTTACAAAAGACGATGAAAACTACTTTTAGCTCGATAATACAAAATCTTGGATTTAACAAATAGTCGTTACATCGAAGATTTTACATCCAACGAATAGTCGTTACTTCCACATCTAATTCATCTAGAGATAGCCCTAGATCGCCATAATGATATTTAAACTCTGGTATATATACGAACAAATTGGTAACCCATCTCCATTTATCATATACTTACTCTAGCCGAATACAGGCATAGACAACTATGTTTTTTGTATTTTTCGTAGAACTCTAATCTTGTTACGCATGAAAAACTTAGTAACACGTGGAATATACAAGGTATATAATATATTAGAGATCGTTTTAAGTCGAAATTCAATCTGACATATAAAACGAAACATTTATAAAAAGCCAAACGTTTACATGGCCTCCATTTTGAAGCTTCTTATTAATAAAACACTCAAATACCGCTGATAAGATGATCAAAAACATTTAAGTTATAACACGAAGGTTACATTGCACCATCGTTTTAATTCAACATTTAGTTTGACGAGATCGATGTTATGTAAGTGTTTTTTTAACATAACATTATGTACCAAACGGATTTAACACCTTTTTGTACGATACAAAACAAAAATAATACATTAAAGCAGTGTCAGGAAGATATTTTGTATTTATTTGCCTTTAATATTATTTAATATATATTCATTTCAATCTTTACGATGACGTTAAAACTCTGTCTGACAGCGAAATGCGTCATTCTTTGACGTTTGACAAATTGGCGCCAAAGAGCAAGAGGATCAAGGATTTGACATGTAGTTGAAATAAATGCATCTATAATATATATATAACTTCTAATATTAAAATTAAAAACAATATATACGTTACAATGAAATTTTCTTTAATTCAAATATTTTTGTTTTTTTTTTTTATAAATCCGAAAGTGCACACCACATTCAGCCAATGTCATTCTGTATAATATTCCGCATCAGTTATTCAAATGTCACACAGAACAAACAATGTCTTGAACAATACTCGACTCACTATAATTCATAACTTAATAGTTCTAACTATATTTTCACACCTGAATCTAATATTAACTTGTTAATGACTCTCCATACATCGTATTTACGAAAATATTTCAATAACGTGGATATTAACACCAGGCTTTGTTTTTGTTCACTATACATATTTTTTTTTGTTAATACTCGATATGGCTTAAAACATAATGCCAATGTTAAATAAATATTATCTGTAACTAGCCATAACCTGATTTACTATGTAATAGATAATTAAATAGTTGTTTAATGATTGATTTAAACGGTTCCCGTAATAGCAGAGTATCGCAGGAAGTGACTGTACTATTGCTTTGTAATTAAATAAGGTTATACATACATTTTTTTTAAAGTAGTTGGAGGTTTTATATTCATTTATTCTGTAAATTTGTTTATGCAGTTCGGTTGCTACGCTTATAAAGTTCAAGCTCGTATTGACTTTAGTATTGAATACATTTACAGCAAACATTATTATTGATTTATATTTTATATATTATATTTAACATCATAAAATTCTATGTTAACACTTATAGACATTTATTAGCAATTCTATTAGATATATATCTATTTATATTTCATAATTATTATTATATGTATGTATTTCGTCATAGAAAATCTTGAATATAATTTTCATTGCAAAAGACACAATCATCTGTCAAGTTCGTTTGAAATGCACAAAAAATATGAAAAACAAAGGCGATTAAGATAAATAATGCTTATGAAATAAAGACGGAACGGTGTTTTGTTTGCTTCGGTCGTTTTAAAAGTTAAACTTCGCAACGAACGGTTTCCCGCCATTGTCATTTGACATTTGACCGCGCGCATGCGCAATGCGTGTCGCGACCCATTACGTAACACACTTTACATACAAAGGGAAAAGAAACATCGGAGGGAATTACTTAAAATTTAACTATTTTTTTTTGTTATGCGCGTTCTGACTCAGTTCATATTTCAAATATTTTTGAATTAAATAGAAATCGGTTTTGGTGAGAAATTTGAGACACGTCAATCTATTTGATTGTCTATACTAAGAGCGGAAGTAAAAAATATATAATAAAAAATATATGAAAACAATAAAAAATCGTTACATATTCCTCATGTAAAAATGTTTTAAAATTGTTAAAAAATATTTTCCTGCATTTAGTTACCAATAAACCGTTACCAATAAAACTTTTTCAGAAATTCTTTATGCTTTATTTTTTTAATCCTTGCATTTATAAGGTCATATTTTGCCCTCCACGTTGTCCGAATAAAACAATTACATAACATTTACTAACATCCATAGTTATATATCTATTTGTAATTATTTTAAATAACTTAATAACAATCATAATTTTTCAACATAATATTGTAATCACAAACCGTATACATATTTTTAAATACAATACATGTATCGACGCATTCGTTCATTGTCCTCCATTTTGTGAGCGGTCACCTGATTGGCTATTCCCGCGCATGCGCTTTAAATATGATTCCATTCGCTGGACGCCTGATTTCTGAAATTAGATCTCGTTTGAGTTTCAACGTTCCCATTTGATTATTGAAATATATTAAACATTCACGCCTATTTAATAAAGTTTAAGTGATAATATAACATAGTATAGTAACTAGTTCTAGTAACAAAGATGGTTGAAATTATATATGGTTCTATTATGTTTAATATCTGTTATAAATGACTTGTTTGTGTTCTACTACAATCATCAGTAAGTGATTTAACCGTTTGTTTACTAATAATTGTACTATTATTTGTATAAGTTTAGTTAAAAGATGAAAATCTATTCATAATCTTTACAGTGAGTGGTTTTAGTATTGACTTTGAGTAATTTGATTCGTAGTTGAAGTAATACGTATAAGTAATTCTTTTCAAAAGCTGCATGCTATTGCTAAGATTCAGCATATTTCAGCTCAATATCTACTTCAATATTTAGTTTATGCTAACAAGCTTCCCATGCTGTATTCCCAAGTATATTATTAGCTCAGTGTGCTTTTACTGCTTGTTACAAGCTACTCGACCATGATACAAAGTTGCGATGATATTACTTATACAATTTATATGCATAGTTCATTAAACAATTGTAATTTTTTATGTTCTAGTATTTATTTAATAGGGACACCATGAGTTTCAGGACTTAGAGATAATGTCCTCATTTTACTCTTTATGGGTGTACGAATTTTATAATTTTGTGTATAAAAAGTATGAAGTCAGTGGTAGCGTAGTGGTTAAAATTCCGCCTCTCATGCACGAGGGCGCGGGTTCGATCCTGGCAAGTACCAATGTGATTTTTCCGAGTCATATGTACTTTTTAAGAGTATTTAGACATCACTGATTAATGCATTCCCGAAGAGGGTTGATGTCAGGCGGGCGGCCGGTCGTAAAAACAATTAGCCAAAACAATTCACAACATGTAAGGTAGACCCTGGCTAAAGCTGGGAAATTGCCAGGTAGAAGAATAAGTATGACAATATTCATACTAAGAGTACTAATATTTTCGGTCAAATTTCTTAAAAGCAGTTCTAACGGTATTCCAGAGGCGTTTACTTCCGAAACAAATCGATTTATGTCAAATAATAAAATTATACTCCAATATAGAATTAGTCTCGGTAGTTTATACACCTTCTTTTTCCTGGCAACCTCCCGGCTTTAGCCAGGGTCTGCCTAAAGGTAGTTTTTACTCCTATCATGATATATCCATGAATATAATTATTTAAAATATTTTGTATCGCTTAGTTGACATAAAAGCTAGTTTAGGTGTACTATATAAAACCTTTTTGAATGCTCAATAAGTGTTGTTGATATACAACTAGATGGCAGAACTAATCCTTTTTAGTTCGAATTTAGAAATAAAGTTGTATATATGCTTCTACATGTATGATTATAATACATGCTTAAGACGGATTGGCGATTTAAAACTTATAATAGGAAATTATAAATAAGTCCAGGTTTCCTCACGATGTTTTATTCACGGTCTCTCAGTGATGTCTAAATAGTCTTAGAACTTTCTATATACTTATATATGTCTCGGAAAAATCACGTTGGTACTTGCCAGGATCGAACCCGCGCCCTCATGAGAGGCGGGCCTTTAACCACTAGGCTATCACGACTATAGTAATAGTGTATAATATATGTATTTTGTTTGTTCCAGGTGATTGGTGAGAGGGAGTATGCCGTCCGTCCGACTAGGAGGCCCTCCGAGGAACTGCAGACCGGCCAGCCGTTGGATGTAGTGGTTCAACAGGTGAGTGATCCACACAATATGTATTGGATAACTCGTACACTATTACAAGACCAGTGTAACTTGACACTTATACCAGACTTATAATAAAATATGTTTAAAACTCAAAAAAAAAACTAAAATTATTGAATATCAGTCAAGATATGTAGTATTAATGACTAGAAAAGTTTTTCTTAACCGATGCAAAATACCTTCGTCTATACACTATATATATACACTCACACACATATATATCTTCTACTTCTTCTACTTCTTCCTGGCAATTTTCCCAGCTTTAGCCAGGGTCTGCCTAAAAAATAACTCTTCCACAGATCATGTTGTAGATAGTTTTGGCTATTAGTTTTTTACGACCGGCCGCCTGCCTGACATCAACCTTCTTGGGGAATGCTGTTGTTGAGCTATTTCAGTTTGATCAAACAAACACACACACACACACACATACACACACTTATATATATATATAAATCTACCAATTTGTATTTCAATCCAAGTATTACCTCAATTTTATATTAAAAAACAAAGACTTAACACCAAATATTGTCATAAATTTTTTTAAGTACGTTTATATCACGTAAGTCATCGATGTCTTTTAAAACTTGCTCCACATAAGTTCAGTAGCCCTCATTAAGTCAGGGCGGTCGCTGGTCGCTGGTCAGGTGAACACTTAACTGTTCTTGAAAACTTGTTCGAGGATATTTGATCTCATTTCTTTTAAAACTTTTATATATTCGGTATTCGGCTTTCATGTATTTTACGTCTGTTTCTTATGTTTTGATTTTATTCGTGAATTAATTGCGTATAAACAAAAAACAGTTAAGGTATATTATTATTTTTAGAAGGTTAAATTGGAAACTTCTATAAAAAAATTATATCTCGTGTCTGTAATGATATGTAAGATATTCGCGTTGATTTACTAAGTCTTTTTTATTATAAACTACATACTCCCGACGTTTTGGTTACTTTACAGCAACCGTGATCAACAGACAGACGAGATGTGAATGTCTCCACGTAATAAAACTGCGTAGTATCCGAAAAACTTAGTTGTATATACTACTGTTTCGGTTTTCAATTAAATTCGTTAAAAGATTTTTTGTCATCAAGTATATAATTAAAAGGTACATTAATTTTTATGTGAAACGTGGAAAAAAAATAAGATTATATAAGTATGTAGATATTATAAGAATATTCCTTGAATGTAAACCACCAGGCATCGAATCTGCGACAGTTGTTTTGTGGAGTAACTAACGAATCTCGTGTCAAATGCAAATAATAGTTTAAAGTATTTATAACAATATTATGTTTATAAAATTTAAGACCGAATTTAATTCAAGTCTTATTCAAAATCAATTAAAACACACAATATCAATTAAAATACTTAGCTAATAATTTGTCTTATTAATATAAGAATATAGTAACGAAAATATTAAAATAATATTTATTATTTGACCAGAATAGATGAAAATTTTAAACCAAAACCTTTGAATTATTCTCTGTTATATAATATATGTGACACTGCTCATTACTCATTATACTAAACCAGGCAAGTACCATTGTGATTTTTCCGAGACACATGTACTTTCTAAGAGTATTTACTATTTGGACACCACTGATATATGGTGAAGGAAAACATCGTGAGGAAACCTGGACTTATAATTTCATATTATAAGTTTGAAATCACCAACCCGTCTTGAGCAAGCGTGCTGATTAATGCTCAAACCTTCTCCATGGGAGAAGATGCTTTACAGCAGTGGGCTCTGATAGGCTGATGATGATGATGAAACTCAACTATGTTTGATAAATTGTTAGAAACATTTTTATATTAATAACATTTTTATAATAAATTATAATTATTATGTGTAATAAATATGACATAAAATAGAAAATTATTTAATGATCCATCAACTTTAATAGCGGTCAAGGGTCAGAGTTCATAATAAGTATTGGATACAATATAATATGTGTATATACTTTGTTGTTGAAGAAATTATTATATAATAATATAATAAAACACATATATATGTCTTCTTCCTGGCAATTTCTCAGCTTTAGCCAGGGTCTGCCTTACATGTTGTGAATAGTTTTGGCTAATTGTTTTTACGACCGGCTGCCTGAATGACATCTGATTTTTGGGAATGCATTAATCAGTGATGTTTAAATACTCTTACAAAGTACATATGACTCGGAAAAATCACATTGGTACTTGCCAGGAGCGAACCCGCGCCCTCGTGCATAAGAAGCGAGCTTTATAAACTCTAGGCCACCACTGACATATATATATTACTTCAATTTCATCAATAATCGGTTCATTGCTTCACATGTAACACTCAGACATACATACATCTAACAGAACCCTTCTAAGCCAACGTTGCAAATTATGAAATAAATTTGAATACAATTCCACCATCTATAGAATGATATAGTTTTTCTTTAATTGTTTCTTTAACACGAATATATAACAACTGTATGTTAAACAGTTTCTTATGCAGTCACCGTAATGGTCCTTTCGCGTGATTGTATATGTTAAGTTTGTTAGCGGGTTCGGTTCCCGGTTGTGAAATCTTGTAGGAAATTATCGACCTATTTGTGATGAAGATAATAGGTTGTGGATGTGTCCCAATACAAGTTTTCAATTCAGCCACTTGCATTGATTTTTGAACCAAAAATACGTGTTAATTCATGATCAGTTTTTGAGTTATTGGGAACAGACATACATACAAACTTGTTTATTTGAAATATTATTTGGGTTGTATATGTACATAATGTTAATGAATGGTTTTTGGTTCTCTTCATACAACCTAAAATATATGCAAATCTTTTTTAAGAGGAGCCTAATACTGAAATTAAGACAAAGTCACGAACAAAAACTAGTCGTACTATACAAAAGCCATAACAAAGTTATTACCCAACTTTTAATTTGATTTTCAATATATTTCATATAACAAGAGAACCTATAGAATAAATCCCTAGACCCTACTAATATTATAAATGCGAAAGTAACTCTGTCTGTCTGTTACGCTTTCACACCTAAACCACTGAACTAATTTTAATGAAATTTAGTTCAGATATAGAGTTGACCTTGAGAAAGAACATAGGATAGTTTTTATCTCAGACTTTTGAAAGGTTCTTTTGGAAACGCGGTATAACTGAACTCCACTCGGGCGGAAAGTTAGTACGAAAATAATTGTATCGGAAACATACGTATGTATAATCGGGTAATTTCCAGCATAACAGGATACAGGTGTAACGGATACAGCATACAGCTGGATATGGATATATGAGGTGGATATAACACAACAATGTGTATTGATCTAGTCTGGTACAGAACTAGTTAGACTACATTCCTATAACTGTGAGGGAAGATTGACGATAATCATTTGTAATTATTAAGTGAATTACTTTTTGGCTTAAATATATATATCTTTATATACAGGGTGACTGGTGAATTACTATCAATATTTGAGGATGTGATATTTGACGATCATATATGACAAAATAAAAATTAATATAACATAAATATTAATAAACTTCTAAGTAAAGTTAACCAAAAGTTATGTAATTAATTACGCATCGTATGAGCACCCTACAGATTAGGTATACACTGACACTCACACATACGCGTGTCGTGACGTGGTGTTGTATCAACACGTCACCGCACGCGTCCACACTTGAACACTTGGAACGTGTCAACACTTTACTTATTTATACGGAAATTTTGTCAAAAATTAAGTGCCTATTTTTTTTACATAATTCGAATGAGAATCATGTACCGAGTATGCTCCTTAAATATTGATAGTAATTCACCAGTCACCCTGTATATAATTCTTCTGTGAGTGTGTATGTCACTGAACTTCTATCAAACGACTGGACCGATTTTGATGAATTTTTTTCTGTGTGTTCAAGGGGATCTGGAAATGGTTTAGATTCACAATTTTGCCCGCTGGACAATGTTTTTTTGATTTATTTTTAATTTATTAGTAGTTGTTGATACAAACGTTTTTTTTTTGACATTAGATTTGACAACTAACTAATATGTCAATCATTCTGTCTCACTTCAAAACACGGAGATTTATGGCTTACAGGTAAACTCCAAAAATATAAATAAAAAAACGTAACAGTTATTTCTTGATTATAGGGCGATACGAAGTTCGCCAGGTCTTCTAGTACAATATAAATATATTATAATTGCGAGTAAGTTGTATCCTTACTTCTAGTTTGCGAAATCACTCCACACGGAGAGTTTCCAGTATCATAGGATAAATGAAACTGGTGACTCCAAGTCGATAGTTAGACGTTCAGAACTTGTGGTAAGTTATTCAACTAGTATGCGAAGCGTAAATACTATTAAATGGACTCGAGTACTTAAGTTTGTGTGAACAGACAGGCTCGTCCGTTGAAAACATACCTGTGTACTAAAATGTTACTGTAAGTGCTAAAGATTTGATCCATTGAAAGCTATGCTACTGTAAGCTATAATATACATTTCTATGTCAAGCCTTACATATATGATTCAGTAAGAAAATATTAAAATAAGTATTTAAACGAATAAACACCGAGAATATTTTAAAAGAAAGACATATTTATTTCTAAAATCGAGAAAGTAGCTAATTAACAAAAATGAAAGTTTACTTTGTAACTGTTAATCTGACATTTACATGTTGTGAATAGTTTTGGCTAATTGTTTTTATGACCGATCGCCTGCCTGACATCAACCCTTTTTGGGAATGCATTAATCAGTGATGTCTAAATACTCTTTGAAAGTACATATGACTCGGAAAAATCACATTGGTACTTGCCAGGATCGAACCCGCGCTCTCAGGCATGAGAGACGGACCTTTAACCACTAGGCCACTACTAACTATATAGATTATATTATATGATATTAATTGAATGTAATCACTGATAAAGATTAAGATAATGATGTTTTGATTTATGCTACGGAAATAATAAAGTGATTTAGATATTTATTATGTAATCACTAATTTTGTGATATAACTTATAAATGAAACTAATAGTTTCGTATTTTATACTCGATTTTTATTATTATTATAAACTACATACTCCTGACGTTTCGGTTACTTTACAGCAACACATCTCGTCTGTCCGTGATCACGGTTGCTGTAAAGTAACCGAAACGTCGGGAGTATGTAGTTATAAATAATAAAAAATGTATTAAACCGAAGAATATTAGTTTCATTTAAATGAATACTCGCGAAATTCTAAATCTCATTACTGAAAAAAAACTTATATATAGATACTATGAAAGAAACACTCTATGTTAGAACAGTTTAGCTATCAGTGGATAAAATCATTAAATAACTTTAAAACTAAACGTGTGAGACATGTCTTGTTTCCGGGAACTGTTGCCCGATTATACTTACATAACTGGACTTAGTACGAGTCCACCGCGTAAACTCAAGACTGACGGTATAGCGTATTTCATTAAAACTTAAACATGTTAAACATTGAATAGAATTCAGTGGTGGCCTAGTGGTTAAAGGGCCTCCTCTCGTGCACGAGGGCGTGGGTTCGATCCTGGCTAGTATCAATGTGATTTTTCCAAGTCATACGTACTTTCTGAGAGCATTTAGATTTTAGACACCACTGACACACTATGAAGGAAACCTAGACTCATAATTTCACAATTATAAGTTTCAAATCACTAAACCGATTTTCAAACATTATTACAAGTTCACGTCATCAAACTAAAAACGAACAGTTTGCACGTTTTTCACATGCCATGGACATTATGTGTGAAGATTTATAAACCAACTATAAACTCTATGTATGTATTACGACACAAACTAGTGATAAGGATGCAATTTAATCGATATTGGTTCAGTAATATATGTATATATTTATATTTTTACACTAAATATTGACGTCCATACAAGATTAGGCCTGTATCGTGAAAAACTCTGTTTGTTATTGACTCAAAAATACTTTTTTGTTATTTAAGTAACTCCAAAATTATATGGATTTTGAATAAAAATCACAAGCAATTTACTAATACAATACACAGTTGTTAATCTTATATAATTACATCGAATTATTTTTTTTCAGTCTAAGGTCTTATTGTTAGAATTCTTCTTCTACCTGTTAATTTCTCAGCTTTATCCAGGGTCTGCCTTACATGTTGTGAATAGTTTTGGCTAATTGTTTTTACGACCGGCCGCCTGCCTGACATCAACCCTCTTTGGGAATGCATGAATCAGTGATGTCTATAGACTCTTATAAAATACATATGACTCGGAAAAATCACATTGGTACTTGCCAGGATCGAACCCACGCCCTCGTGCATGAGAGGCGGCCTCTTAACCACTAAGCCACCACTGACTTATTGTTAGAATTATCATAGTCATATCATTATTTTTAAAAATTTGCTTTTGTTACTCAATATATCAAAAGTGAGTTATGTTTTTCTTAACCAGATTCTTATAAACACTCAACAATTACCATATATCTTAGGTCTTATTTACTTATTTATTTATATAATACTATATATAATCGATCAAGCTGTGGTTTGCGGTTAAACCGTTTAATTCCAAACCTACATAGAGACGGAAATATTTTAACGATTTCATCATAAAAACATTTATTAGAATTTATTAATTCCATGTAATTATTATATTAATTTAGATGTTTCTAGAACAATGATAATCGCTATGAATACATGAGATATATCTTTATGGTATGATAGTAAATGGGACTTCACTCACTGACATGACGACCAATGTAAGGCAATGATTAAATATCGTAATCTTTATATGTATATATTATTCTTCTGTGAGTGTGTGTCACTGAACTTCTCTCAAACGATTGGACCGATTTTGATGAAATTTTTTTGTGTGTGTTCAAGGGGATCTGGGAATTGCTTAGATTCACAATTTTGTCCTCTGGACAATGTTTTTTAATTAATTTTTAATTTATTAGTACTTGTTGATACAAACGTTTTTACACGACATTTGTTTTGACAACTAACTAATATGTCAATAATTTTTTCGCACTTCAAAACACGGAGATTTATGTCTTTAATAGGTAAACTCCAAAAATATAAATAAAAAAACGTAATAGATATTTCTTGATTATAGGGCGATACGAAGTTCGCCGGGTCTTCTAGTTATATATATATTTGATAAGAAATTTGTCGGGTGGTAAGTTGGAATCAGGAGACGGACATAGGATACTTTTGAAGTAAGACCAAAAAAAAATATTGCTAACAAATTCCAAAATCTGTTTATTTACTGCTTCTAAATCGAAACAGTTCGCCTGATGAGCTATACATTAATAATTATGAAAGTAACGCGAACAAAGCCGCCAGTAAAATCTAGTAGCTAGTTCTTATATTAAAATTATAGAGTTACATATTGGACATACAATTAATATTTATTTTTCGTTCATATATTTAACTAGCTTTCCGCCCGTAGCTTCGCTCGCTAGCTCGAGTTTGGTTATATCGCGTATCCAAGAGAACCTTTCAAAAGTCTGGGATAAAAACTATCCTGTTCTTTCTCAAGGTCAACTCTATATCTGTACCAAATTTCATTAAAATCAGTTCAGTGGTTTAGGTGTAAAAGCGTAGCAGACAGTCAGACAGAGTTACTTTTGTATTTATAATATTAGTAGGGATATAACACTAATTAATTACCGCGGTTCCGTTCTCGTCTTTATTCCAAACTGAGTTAATTTTATTCTCTACGTAATATTCATATAATTTTAAACAAAGCATATCACTACTTCTCATTGCCACTAAGTTTTTGTTTGTTTAAGGTTATTTTATTCGGAAAATTTAAATAAAATTATGATTTTTAAAATCCTTTTACTAGATAAAAATAATTTACATTATTGTCTTATTTGATAATTATTCACATACATACATACATATACATTTAACTAACTAGTGCTTGCACGCGATTTCGCCCACTTTATTAATTATTAAAATTTAATATCTTTCTTATCATATGGAATTGTCGAGAAGCAATTTCATATTAATATTAACCTTAATTGTATATTGTAACACGAAAAATCTTCATTTCTGTGTTTTAAAGGAAAATTTTTAAAATGGCTTTGATATTTCCAATTTATACCGTGTGTAGTAGTGAGCCCAGTACTTTAGGCGTCTCATATATGACTGCTCTTACATTTTAATATGCATGGAGTTCAAAAACTTATAGCATTCAGTGGTCAGATAAAATAAAATATACAAAAAAAAATAAAACAAATATTTTTCGGATGTACTACGCGATTTTTCATTTTTGACTATAAATTACATACTCCCGACGTTTCGGTTACTTTACAGCAACCGTGATCACGGACAGACGAAATGTATTCATTTCAATTAATACTCGCGAAAATCTTAGATCTCATTATACAAATAAAAATATCCAAAGAGGTTTATCATAATCATTATTCAAACGAGTATTAACTTTACATCCACACACATACACACACAAAGATATTTGAGTATATTTGATGTACAACTACCCTCAGTTTCAAAAACCTTTCTGTACATTATCTTACAGTTTAGACTTTAGACCATACATATATTACTCAGTGGTTCAGTTCGACCGAGTCCCCCATTCGGTCCACCGGTGTACAGTTGTGTTGTATTGTTCCAGGTGGATGAGTTCGTCCACTCCCTGCAGGTGGACCCTCTGTCTCCACTGTTCCGACTGGTCACGGACGGCCAGCCGCCTCTCAGGTGACTACATATTACTTAGTATTCAATTCATTTATGTATGTATATATTCTTACTATTTTTCTATATACGTGATATATGTATTCAATATTAGATTTTTTTATTTGTGACTAATCATGTATGTATAAGTCAATGACACGTTTAAAAGAGGGTATTTTTTTTGTTTTGACTCCCGTAATATAGATGCGAAAGTTTGTTGACGTTCCACGCAAAAACTACTGAATCGATTTTGATGAAACTTCACAATGATATAGCTTAGATATCAGAATAAGACATAGGATATAATTTATCCCTATATTCCTTGTAATTACGACAGAATTAAGTCATATCAGTTCTATAGTGTTTAACGTCACGTTAACATGTGTACCTAACTTTTGTTTTAACAGTCTTCTTCCTGGAAATTTTCCAGCTTTAGCCAGGGTCTGCCTTATAATATAGAGATTTTTCTCTGAACGTAATTCGGAACTAGAAAACGCGAAGTCGGAGTCAAAAACTAGTATATCAATATAAGTATGATGTTGAAGGTTACAGCATTGTCAAAAATGTTTACAATCGGAGAATATCTAGTAATTTTGAAACAATCAAGTAATTTAGTAGCATTACAGTCACTAATGACGCCGCGCTGAGTTGAGGAAGTTCGGAGTAATTCTATACATATAATACATTCATATTTATTAATATTAAATTATGAAATTCGTTATTATTACTATTTTAAAAATAATTTGAACGATCTTTAATTAAACAGTTATTTTTTTTCCAATTTAACTCAAGAAAATACAGATTTTGATCGAAAAATATTTTAAAAGGGAATATAATTTCTGTTGAATTTAACTCCATATTTCTGACACTGCTCCTAACAAAAAATATAAAATTAATAACATTTTTTCCATAAAGTTTCTCATAAAAAATTCTTAAAACAAATTATATATTAAAAAATAGGCCATATTTTTTATACCTTTATAAGGAAATGATGTATAAATGTCTACCAGTGTGTAACCACCCTTATATTTTAGATATTATCTGTTTTCCGTTGAGCACGCGATGTCAAAACGATTTACATTAAACTGTACTGTGTTGCATTGTACTGAAATTGATAACCCCCCAAAATTGGTAGAAGTCATATATATACGTATAATATATGTATATAATTACGATGATGCTTTGCACTCTCATTGTCAACGAGAAAGAGATACTTTCGAATTGTCTTAAAATATATGTTAGAAAAAGATCATGATGTTTCTTCAAAATATTCAAAATAAAACAACTATGTAGCCCTCAAAGATTATCTTAAAATACCGAAATTATTCGAATGTGACATTATTCCAAAAATCTTATCGAGATCGTTTAAATATGGGCGAAGATAAAAATTGGACAAAGTCAAAATATACAATAAGTATTACAATAGTCCCTAAATATTTACATATATGTATGTAGGTCATAGGTTACCTTGTATATCAGAAAAAAGTAACAATGACGTAATCACACCATTGAATAGTTTAGTTCAAATCCTGACCTAACCTCACCTAAATTACCAATAACTTGAACCAAACAACTAATATATATATTAATTTAAAATAGAAAAAGGTAATACATATATTAACATCATCTAAAAATTTAACTAATATTTTTAGATTATACGCGTATTTTGTTATTTTAAATCTACATACTCCCAACGTTTCGGTTACTTTTCAGCAACCGTGATCACGGGCAGACTAGAATATTAGTTTCTATTCTATTCTATTCTAATATTAGTTTCATTTAAATGACTAACCTCGAAAGTTTTATTTCATTACTAGTTTTTGTCCGCGACTTCGTCCGCGTTAATTTCGTCATTAGTAATATAGGTATAGCTGACCGGGCACACTCTATTCCGTCTTCAATAACCCGGTATTGGTATTTATTAAATTTCTACTGTTTCAATCGAACAGAATGATTGACATATTAGTTGTCAAGTCTAATGTCAAAAAATCGTTTGTATGGTAAATGGAAAAGGGCTGTTTTAGGGTTTTCCCGGCAATTATTCCAATTTTTCTCACCTTTTAAACCTTCCCTGGACTTCCAGGAGTATTTCAAGACTAAAATTAGCCAAATCGGTTCAGCCGTTCTCGAGTTTTAGCGAGACAAAGGAACAGCAATCCATTTTTATATATATAGAAGATCATCCAAAAAATTATTTATTTTTATAAACATAAATATATCTCATTAATGATTGATACTTAGTTTATTTTGGGAAAAATATCAGCGCCATCTATATTTAGTGTTCCGTAACATCACAATACAACTGATAAGACTTGATGCTGATGCAGGGAACTACACGGACTGAAGACATACATTACAGACATGACTTGTTATAATGTATAAACTATATTATAGGAAAGGTTTCATCAAAATGAGTTCAGTGATTAAAATGAGATGCATCGAGAAATAATCCCTACAACTCTAGAATTAGTTTATAAAATATATTTTATTTTCTTTTTTATTAGTTATGTTAATATAATTACGTAATTATGATTAAATATTACGTCAAACATAAATTAGTTGTTTTTAAGGTTTTTATACAGGGTGACTGGTGAATTACTATCAATATTTAAGGAGCATACTCGGTACATGATTCTCATTCGAATTATGTAAAAAAAATAGGTACTTAATTTTTGACCAAATTTCCGTATAAATAAATAAAGTGTGTACACGTTCCAAGTGTTCCAAGTGTGGACGCGTGCGGCGGCGTGCTGATACAACACCACGCCCCGCTCGCGTATGTGTGAGTGTGTGTGTATACCTAATCTGTAGGGTGTTCACACGATGCGTAATTAATTACATAACTTTTGGTTAACTTTACTTAGAAGTTTATTAATATTTATGTTATATTAATTTTTATTTTGTCATATATGATCGTCAAATATCACGTCCTCAAATATCGATAGTAATTCACCAGTCACCCTGTATATGTAACACGAGTTTTAATTTTACTAACTGTACAGTAACATTATTATAATGTTCTCCTACCCTCGCCTCACGATGTTAACACTATATGTTAATTATAAGAATAAAATAGAATTAATTGAGGAAATCACTTTTTATGTTTAAATAACAATATGACCGTAACGATTACTTTGTTGTTATAAAATGGAAAATATTTAAAAATTATTATGTACATATTATATGTATATAGAGACGGTTCCGCGCGGTGGTATTAGTTTTAAATATGTTGTTACTCATATTCATTTTATTAAATAATGTATTTTTTTTTCTTTTAAAAGTATAATATTACGAAGAAGAAAAAGAGTGTAATTTTTTTATTAAATTATAATAATCTTGATACATGAAATATATTAGAGAGAGAGAATTGGCAGGGATTTTGTTGAACTATGTCTCTTAGTTCAATATTAACTAGGTTTGTTTGAGATTCTAATTTAGGTTAAATTATGAAGTTTATTTTTATTACTAACTAGCTCTCCGTCCACAGCTTCGCCCTCGTGGAGTTCGGTTATATCGCGTTTCCAAGAGAACCTTTCAAAAGTCTGGAATAAAAACTATCCTATATTTTTTTCTCAAGCTCAATTCTATCTCTGTACCAAACTTCATTAAAATCAGTTCAGTGGTTTAGGTGTGAAAGAGTAACAGACAGACAGAGTTACTTTCGCATTTATAATATTAGTTGGGATAATAGTATTATTCTTTATTGCACACCCTTAAATTAACAACTATTAGAAATTATAAATATAATAGATAAAAATGTACAATTTTGTACATACATGTACAATCTCTTCCAGACAACCAACAAGGATTTGTAAAATATACATATTATGCCGTGCTAAATTATAGCCAAATATTTTTGACTGCACTATAAAGGGAATAGTCTAGAAAAGATTTATAGTTTACACTAGAAAATAATTGAAATGGTCTTATAGCTTATAACTTTACCAGACTTAAGAATATGTTACGGGTTTTTTGCATTCCCTTTTCCTTTATTAAAATGATTGTTTCACCTCAACTTCACCACTACAAGTTAATCCAGATCAGAACTGGTTCCGTTTTTTTAAATAACAGTAACCTTTTAATTAACGCCGACAACGATTTATCAGATTATGAAACGATATTACCAAATGTTAGAATTTTACATTCCATATGTGAAGGTTACACAATAGTTATACGATATTTTCCTTTAAATTGTTTAAATATTAAAAATATATTAGTATTTGAAGAAATAGAAAATGATGTTATGTGTTTGAATGAAATAAATACATAGTAAAATAAAGGGTTCGAAACCGCGATTTAAAGGATATGTCTAAAATCCTCATCATCATCAGCCTATCAGAGCCCACTGCTGAAAGGCCTCTTCTCTCATGGAGAAGGTTTGAGCATTAATCACCACGCTTACTCAAGACGGGTCGGTGATTTCAAACTTATAATTGTGAAACTATAAGTCCAGGTTTCCTTCACTGTCTGTAAGTGGTGTCTAAATGTCTTATCTCAAATTGTTCAAATTACTTTAAATGGGAATTTTATTAAGACTATAATTATTTTGGACAGATTAAGTTTGAAACTATAATAATTATAATCTTTGAAATGCAATAATGTATATGAGTATATGAAAACAAAGTAATCGCAGATTATTTTAAGAGTAAACATTAATTGAGGGTAGACGTTACATATTAAGTGTTAGGACTCGTGTTTATTGATGATAGGAGATGTCGTTGGACGATTATATGATCACTGCCATCACCGGTGATAAAGGTGATAACATATATATACATCTTATATATTGGACAAGTCATTAGAAAGCATATTATATACATATATATCGGATTTATTACAGATTCGTTGTTTTATAAGAGAGGGACGCCAGCCTCGCTGACGTTACAAATGTCATTTCTTCTAGAGCGCTCTATGATATTTTAAAATGAAACTACAATTGTTCTTAATGCTCCTGTATTTCTCGAAGGTTCTTCATAATAACATACTTCAATGATACGCACTCACTGAACTCTGAATTATCAATTCTGAACTCTGCCGTCGTGCGTCCAGTCGTCATATTTATAATAAGATTCAAACATAGTTCTATTCTCCTTTGATTTCGTTTTACTTTTAACAATAATCATAAATACTAATGAGGTTTAATAATAATTGATGACAGCCTCAAATTATTTTCAAGTCGCATCCTTTATTAAAGCTGGTAGCGCCGATATATACATATATTACCTTTAATGTAAAAATATTTCGATTAATAAGAACTTCATATTTGGACAATAAGTTGTAAGTAGTGAAACGATATTCATATGTTAATTTTAATATATTTTTGATATGAATATTATATTATGATATAATTGCATAAGTTGTGTAATCTCATGTTGTCAAATTGTCCTCGGTTCAACGTACGCTACCGGTTTCGCATACGGTTCGGCAATACATATTCAAATGTGAAGTGTCTCGCGAACTGAAATTTGTCTTATATATATAAATAATAATAATAAAGCCCCATACTATAATAAATTCCTTTTATTTCAACCTCTCTTATAAATTTTCAGACAATGTCTCCACCCTGAAGCGTGCTCCAAGGATATAACCCTGCCTCCCTACTATGCTCGTTTCCACGACCTCCGCAAGGAATACGTGAGGGCGTACACTCTCCGAGCGGTCACAAGATCCCAGCCACCACCTCCAGATCATCCTAACAGCATCTCGGACATGATGGGCTGTATCCTTTTTGATAGAACTTTATTTTTATTTATGTACCAAAAAGAAAAAATGGTTACAATTAAAGTATTATAAAAGAAAAGGATAACTTACCTCTTAAAAAATATCTCTACCAGAAACCCTTTTGATAGAGGAAATGAGAAGAGAAATGTGGAATAAAAAAAGGTATATAGGTATATAAGAGTACAAACCAAATTATAATAGTATAAAATTTGATACAAATACAACGATGACTTGGAGCAAATACTTTTAGTGATGATAGAAAACATCTTCAATAAGAATTAATACGCCAGAATACTGTTCTGAATATGGAATGGAAGAGCTAAATTTGATAAAACTCTTTGATTTCTATCTGATACTTTTCGAGCATGAGTTTTCACTTCACGTAAAGTTTACAAATTCCTTATAATATAAATAAAATAATAGTATTTTCCATACAATTTTATAACGTCTATAGTTAATATTTAACATATGTATGTATATGTAATGAGTGGGTTGTATATAATTGTTCCTTATAGTAATATAGATCTAGGCATCACTCCATACACCGGGGAAAACTTCTACGCGGCCGAGGTTAAAGATATGGCGGCCATTATACAGAGGATTATCGCTGATGGTGAGTTATATACATACACACATACATACACACACACACACACACACACACACACACACACACATACATACATACATACACACATACATACACACACATTAGTATACAGTTTTCATATAAAGCCTTTTAAATAACTAATACAACCTTAACTAGAACAAACGAATTATTATCTAAAACCAAAACACAGTAAATAAATTTAATTCAATTTACAAAAAACTTTCTCGCGTAAAAGTGAACAAACCAAATTTAAATGTCATCACTTTGGGTGCATTCGGAAATTTAAAAGTTCGCTTCAAATATATTTCTTAATTATTTCAAGTTCTTTATATGTATTATAAATAAAAATTGTATATATATTAAAAATATTATTCTGACATTTCAGGCTTCAGACTAGAACTGCCGGAGACGATCGATCTGGTCCTAGAAACTGGAATTTGGTGAGTTTAATATAAAGATAATAACGCCTTAATAAAAACTATTAGCAATTACTTAGGTGGAGATAAAACTGTTTAGTACACGGCGCTTTATATATGGAAAGTTGATTAATGCATTCCCAAAGAGGGTTGATGTCAGGCAGGCGGCTGTAAAAACAATTAGACGAAACTATTCACAACATGTAAGGCAGACCCTGGCTTAAGCTGGGAAATTACCAGGTTGAAGAGAGATATATAATAAATTAGTAATCTCATATTTAAGTGTGTTAACACTGTATGTCTGTTTGTTCTATACTCAAACACTCGCCGGAGAATTTCTAAACTGTTGACTATTTCTGAGAACCATTGACATTGGCTTGCTATTTGCAAAATAAACACTAGAAGAGATCCTAACTATATATTATATATTAAGTTAAATAAATAATATAATAAACATATATATACCTATTAAAAGTTAATATATTTTCTAGTACATATATATATTTATTTATGTGATACTTATAATTTTATCTGATGCATTTTATTCAAATTAAACATCTCGGGTATAAGGTGTCGGGTGTAAAGCCTTCACCCAAATAAAATATATTAACTGCTTACAAAATTTGACGATGAATGAATAAATACATATATAATGGAATTTGTATGTTTATATATTTGTGATATTGTGAGGAATGAAATTTTTTTAAGCAATTTATTATATATACAGGTTGACTGGTGAATTACTATCGATATTTGAGGACGTGATATTTGACGATCATATATGACAAAATAAAAATTAATATAACATAAATATTAATAAACTTCTAAGTAAAGTTAAGCAAAAGTTATGTAATTAATTACGCATCGTGTGAACACCCTACGGATTAGGTATACACACACACACACACACACACACTCGCGCGTGGCGGCGTGTTGTTGTATCAGCACCCCGCCGCACGCGCCCACACTTGGAACACTTGGAACGTGTACACACTTTATTTATTTATACGGAAATTTGGTCAAAAATTAAGTACCAATTTTTTTTACATAATTCGAATGAGAATCATGTACTGAGTATGCTGCTTAAATATTGGTAGTAATTCACCAGTCACCCTGTATAATGTTTATATTGTACAGACATAGTTAGTGTAATGTAATACTTTGAGTAAGTAAAGATACAATAATTACTACGTGTGTTTGTTAAAACGATACACACAAAGTTCAGTTTCAATTGAATTTAATTTAAAATGTATTTTCTTCAAGCTTACTACAAGTCAGCTATGTCACTTCGTACGCATCGTTAACAGTTTTTAGTTACGTAGATCTTCATACTATTGTATTAGCGTAGGTTATTAAGTAAGAAACGGGAAATAGTTTTTGTGAGTTAAGGTAATAGGTCTATAAAATCAATCAAGCCTTACTCTATCCTTAAAGCGGCTTCGGATTGGACTATCATGATGGATACGTATGAAAAACAATATAAAATCCCCGCGGATATTATTCCGAAATAGGTTCGTCGTGGATTTGTACGCGGTAGAAGTGGTAGTGACAGGTATAACAGCTTAATCTCTATACAGGCTATTGAAATACTTGGGCCTATCCAGAACTCACATTAACTCGTTCTTCTAAGGCAGCTCTAGAAGGTTCTTTTCAAATTTGGTTAGGTAAAGAGAAGCTTGGACGGTGGAGGTGAGCGTTTAACGCGCGTTAGATAGGTGTCCCTTAAACCTACACCTGGGTCACAAGTCCCAGTCACTGTTGAAGCTCCTCTCACTACAACGATGGACCCGACACACGCACCGTGAATACATTGAATGATGAGAGGTTTCGTCTCTCTATATATATTAAACCTACACCTGGGTCACAAGTCCCAGTCACTGTTGAAGCTCCTCTCACTGCAACTATAGACCCGGCATCCGCACGGTGAATACATTGAATGATGATAGATTTCGTCTCTAGTGGTAATAACGGTGCCTACATAAGAAACGAGACTGGGGGTAATATAAAATTCATCTTACATTTTTTTATCTCTTTTTAAAATATACATCTAATGAATTGTAATACATAAATGAACACCAAAAAAATGTGGCTCATAATATATTAATTATTATCATTAGTTAATAAAACTATTCCTCGTTTATATCAATTTATATTCAAACACCAAAATTTGTAATTTATGGATATAAGCTTAAATCAATTCAGAAATTCGATCTTGCATATATGTATTAGTGATGTGCCGTCTTTATCCGCGGATATCCGATCAAGATACATCCGTTTCCGGTGTTTGCTAACGGGTTTTTACTCATCCCTACTATTTTCAAAATACTTAGGTAATGTTGCATTAAGGTGGTTGTACAGACAAGAAAGCAATTCTACTCATAGTATAAATGTGAGAAATTGTCACTTTGTGCTTGTGTTTTAATATATGTATGTTTGTTGCTCTTAAACTCAAAAACCACTGAACGTATTTTGATGAAACCTTTCCAATAATATAGTTTATACATCAGACCAAGTCATGGATGTAATGTATCTCTTCACTCCGTGTAGTTCCCTACATCAGCATCAAGTCTTATCAGTTGTATTTTGTGACGAACGATAGATGGCGCTGACCGTTGGTTTATAAGTATGTAATGTTTTAACACTTAGACATTTATTACTGAGCTTATACCGTAATTACGAGGACGATATGCGTGTAAAAACTAGTATGTGATAAAAGGAAATGAAGTTAAGTAGTGTTCAAAAATCAGTGTTATTATATTAGTAGAGTGATAATTTTTTTATTCTTGTTTGTCCCATCGACTCTGGATGACAAAGATTCATATCTATTAAAATCTGGCACGTAATTAAATGTGTGCATTCCCTAATATACGAATTATAAACATTAAAAAAACTTTGTAATATTGTTTGTTAGTATAATTAATCACTGCTGGTACGATTTCTATGTAACTCTGAATACATATAGATGCTAAAAAGACAATATAGTGACCCGTAATATAAGAATCATAGAACTAAATCTGTATATATTAAATAACTTGTCGAGAGAAATGTGTATTTTATAGGCTGATAAGTGACGACTACACCTCTACCACGATACTGTTTACATATCGTTAAGATATCGTTATATTACTTGGTAGGTGACAAGTTTAAAAAAAGTTTTAAATGAATTTTTTGGCATAATTATTACAAAATAATGCTAGTATTATATTATTATTATGTATATTAATAAAGAATGTTGATAGTCTGTATATAATATCCAAATGCATGAAGATTTTGTTATCGTAAGCCCTTACTAGCGTGGAGTTTGGTCGCGCGGGGCTCATGCCTCATTCTTCGTCGGGCTGTGTGGTTGTTAAGACGTGTGTCTTGTGTAGTGTGCTGTTGAACTATCGTCAAGATAAAAAGGTGAATAATTGATAGCTTCTTGATAATTAATATTGGAGATATCATGAAATACGTTTTAAGTTTTTTGTATTATATTTAAACATTTGTAGCGTTTACAGTGACTTACGTGTGACCGGTGGCATTTTGCGTATATAATTTTTAAGTATTAGTGTGCATTTTTAATTGATTACAGACGTCTAACTCGTGTGGCTGTTATGATTTTACGTACACATGACGTGCGTAGCTAGGACTAAGGTTAAAACAAACATACGTGCAATAAAAACGGAAGTTAGAGCGTAAAAATTACGAAAGCCGTGTAATAAAACACTCGGGACGGTTCCACTCAAATTACAATAGCACGTTCTGCTGCGTCAGGTACACATTTCACATTGAAGCTGAGACATGGATTTTATGTAACCCTTAGTACTAGACCGTAAACTAGATACTTACAGTATTGACGTGTGACGTATAAGAAACATTTGACCTTACGTATTAGTCGATTCTGTCAAAACATGAAAGTGTCAGTGTGATTCGCACAAATACTAAGCGCTCTAACAATACTGTTGTGATAACATACACGTAACAAAGAAAATATAACGTATGAGAAAGATGAGGAATTATACAGATACATTAAGAATAAAACCATTTAAATCCTTACTATATCAATATTATGAATGCTAAAGTAACTCTGTCTGTCTGTTACGCTTTCACGACTAAACCACTGAACTGATTTTAATGAATTTTCGTACAGAGATAGAGTTGACCTTGAGAAAGAACAGGATAGTTTTTATCCCAGACTTGAAAGGTTCTCTTGGAAACGCGATATAACCGAACTCCACGCGGGCGAAGCTGCGGGCGGAAAGCTAGTATTTATATGCAAAAGAATAGGAGGATACAAAAAAACATTTTTTATCCCGAAGGTCAAGACAAAATATTTGTGAACTAAGCTTAATATTACACGCTGATTCAGAGGATTTTGAGACGTAATAAAATTATTATATTTAAATGACTAAACCAGACTTGAACATACTCACTGATGTTTTAATGGAAGTTTGTTAGTAGTTAGTATACGTAGATGATTGTTACGCATTAACTCAAAAACTACTGAACAGATTTTGATGTTATTCTACAGTGATGTAGTCTAGACATCAGAAAAGGATATAGGCTATAGTTTATCTCTTCGTTGGGTGTAGTTATGCCAGGATCAAGTTATATCAGTTGTATGTTGTGTGACGTCACTTAACATATGTATGTATTATTTTAACACACTATTTTTTAGTCTCAAAGAGTAATTCCATAGTTCACGTAGGCTGAAGTCGAGGGAAATAACTGTATATTTATAAATCATGTATCCTTAGGAAGAGTTAATATTATTATACGTAGCATGTAAAGTATAACTGTTTTTCAGTACTTCCTTTATTGGACGAACTAAAAAAAATATGGTATATTCAATACATATAGCAAGATCTCTATTAACAACTTACAAACTGTCAATCAAAATATGTACTTCAAATTGAGACTAAGGTTAATACCGTCAACACGAGCAGAGTCACGTCAACTATGTTATACTAAATATTTAGAAATCAAAATCATAACAGTCATCACAAATTAATTGAAATATTTATATTTGTTGAATTAGGCTCCGTTTAAACTGTCTTTTATATAATCTTCTATCTTCTATATATATAAAAATGGATTGCTGTTCCTTAGTCTCGCTAAAACTCAAGAACAGCTGAACGGATTTATCTTATCTTAGTCTTGAAATGTTCGTGGGGGTTCAGGGAAAGTATAAAAGCTGAAAAAAATTGATTCATTACTAGGAAAACCGTAAAAACAGCCCTTTTCTATTTCCCATACAAACGGTTTTTTTGACATTAGATTTGACAACTAACTAATATGTCAATCATTCTGTCGCACTTAAAAACACGGAGATTTATTATGGCTTTATTATGGCTTTAATAGGTAAACTACAAAAATATAAATAAAAAAAGTAATTGATATTTCTTGATTATAGTGCGATACGAAGTTCGCCAGGTCTTCTAGTGTTAATATAGAAATAATGCGTTCTTAACATAATAGATACATTAGCCAACAGCGATATCTATCGTCTATCTCCCACACATACAACTGTTAAATTATATTGTTTCCATAATAACTACATTGAATAGAGACGTATATTATGGACTATATCCTATTCTGATGTCCAAACTACATCATTGAAAAGTCTCATCAAAATCCGTTCATTACTCTTCACGTAATCAAGCAACAAACATACGTTCCGTTCCGTGAACTGCTTCACCGAATTCTATATAACTTTTCATATTTAAGTTAGACATATGGAATAGGAAATTTTAAGTCAGTGGTGGCCTAGTGGTTAAAAGGTCTTCCTCTCATGCACGAGGACGCGGGTTCTATCCTGGCAAGTACCAATGTGATTTTTCCGAGTCATATGTACTTTCTAAGAGTATTTAGACACCACTGATTAATGCATTCCCAAAGAGGGTTGATGTCAGGCAGGCGGTCGTTAAAACAATTAGCCAAAACTATTCACAACATGTAAGGCAGACCCTGGCTAAAGCTGGGATATTGCCAGGTAGAAGAATAGAAGATATGGAATAGGAAATTTTTATTTACAAATAATAATATTGGTCATAAAAAGTGTTAAATCGTGTTAAATATTCGACATAGCGGAATACCAAGTGTATGTGTGTTTATGTTCGCGCGTCCCACCGCAGGCCATTGTCTAGAACTTTAAACAACTTAGGAAGCACGCTTAATACAAGTTACTGTCAACGGAAATACTTACAGTTTGGAAGTATCATTTACTTGGTACACTAACGATCACAAAATTCCCTGAGTAATCATTTTTATTATTAAACTTATGTAGTTAAAAATAATGCTTTAATTAATCGACTTCATCTTTAAGAGTAAGTCATTCCTCATTACTAGAACAATATAATAATTATAAATCTGCTGCCATTTAGAGATTTTTTAACGTTATTGTTAGCACCTTGTCCCAAATTAGAAAAAATCGTCCAACACTTCAAAAATGTAATTATATAGATATTTAGGAGTCCTTTTGTTTTTGTGTCCTCGACACTCAAAGCCGTTTCTCAGAAACTATTCACACAAATACACACACATGTTCTCGTTGAGAGGAAAAAACTATTTAGAATTGTTATAGAGTAGTTAAGAAAGCAGTATATTACTCAATGACATTACATATGATACATTATAACATATATATGATATGATTATTTTTGGGCAAATAAGAATACATTAAATTAAATAAAAATATATCTTTATTAAAATACTAAAATTTAGTAACAGCGCCATCTATCGGCAGCGTTGGAAACTTTATTTTTCTTAAACTAACTTCCATTTGCCAACCAAATAAGTGTATATAAATATATATTAATATATATATTATATAGTATTAATGTATTTTAATACATATATATGTATGTACAGTAGTTAGCTGGTCGTTAGAAAGGTCCTAGGGTTAAGACGATATCATCTTGACATTGATACGTACAAGCTTAAAATGTTCCGCTGACTTCAATGTCATACAAATATATTATAAATCTTCATACATATACAGGGTGACTGGTGAATTACTATCAATATTTAAGGAGAATACTCGGTACATGATTCTCATTCGAATTATGTAAAAAAATAGGTACTTAATTTTTGACCAAATTTCCGTATAAATAAATAAAGTGTAGACACGTCCAAGTGTTCCAAGTGTGGACGCGTGCGGCGGCGTGCTGATACAACACCACGCCCCCGTACGCGTATGTGTGTGTGTGGTGTATACCTAATCTGTAGGGTGTTCACACGATGCGTAATTAATTACATAAGTTTTGGTTAACTTTACTTAGAAGTTTATTAATATTTATGTTATATTAATTTTTATTTTGTCATACATATATGATCGTCAAATATCACGTCCTCAAGTATCGATAGTAATTCACCAGTCACCCTATATAAAACTATTTAATTAGTACCATAATTACATCTTATCTTAATGATATAAAATTTGGCATTATATCTGATTGAAATGAAGTCATTATATAAAAAATATTTTTGTTAAATAACAAACAAAATATATAAAGAATGCATTTACATTCCGTCTCTCAAGGCTGAGCGTTAGATTTGTTACGCTCGACTTATAACTGCTAGGACCTTATAGATTCTATTGTATTAAAAAAATATACCCACAAAATATATATAGGAACTATATATATATGTATGTCTGTGTATTATTGATAGACACTGTCCAACTTATGATAACATATATAAATAACTATAAACTAATGCTTTTACGTATTATTAAAGACGAAGTATGAATCTAATTATATTGGTTACTTCAATTCGACACATATTTTCGTCATTATCACCAAATATACCTATATTTTTTAGTTTAATATGAATAATAGATAAAGTCGCTACTAATATTATAAATGCGAAAGTAACTCTGTCTATCTGTGACGCTTTCACGCCTAAACCACTGAACTGATTTTAATGAAATTTGGTACAGATATAGAGTTGATCTCGAGAAAGAACATAGGATAGTTTTTATCCTAGACTTTTGAAAAGTTCTCTTGGAAACGCGATATAATTTAACTCGACGCGAGCAAAGCTGCGGGTGGAAAGTTAGTATTATATATATTATAGTTATAATAATATATTAGTATCAAATATGATTAAATACAAATAGTTTGTGTCCATTGTTCTATATCGTGGAGCGTTATGTCGGCTCGTTGTACAATACATGAGTTTTATGACGCGTTCACGTGTGCCTTTTGATCTGATAACTAATATTACAAGTCACAATTCAATCTAAATCTGAATGCTCCTGTGATAAATACAAATAGCCTATTAAAGAAATTCCTGATAGATACGAAACCTCTTAGAATTACATGTAGTCACGGTACGTGTGTCGGGACCATCGTTGTAGTGAGAGGAGCTTCTACAGTGACTGGGACTTGTGACCCAGGTGTAGGTTTAAGGGACCCCTATCTAACGCGCGTTAAACGCTCACCTCCACTGTCCAAGCTCCTCTCTCTACGTTATTAAATTTGAAAAGAACCTACTAGGGCTGCCTAAATACGTTCTAAGAATGAATTAATGTTAGTTCTGGACAGGCCCAAGTCTTTTAGTAGGTTGTAGAGAGATTTAGCCGTTATACCTCTCGCTTCCACTTCTACCGTACAAATCCATGACGAACTTATTTATTATTTATCTTAAATATCATTATATTACGAATTTTCATCTCGTCTGTCCGTGATCACGGTTGCTGTATAGGAACCGAAACTTCATTATTAAGTAGGTATATAATAATAAAAAAACGCGTAGTATCCGAAAATATTAGTTTCATTTAAATGAATACACGCTAAAGTCTTACATATTATTATGTTACTAATATTTGGCAATATCAGTAATTAATGCATTGTAATAACGTGATATTAAAAATATTTCAACTATTCCATAATAATATATCAGTTTGTTGGTTTTATAAATCACATGAAAATTATCAGTTTTAAAGTATACGAACCTAACTTTAGATGTATAACATTTATTTTTAATGTTTTAAAACATAAAAAAACTCGTAAAATTGCTGAAGTATAAACAAAATTATTATGTTTTAACTATCTGTGACCTGTGACTTTTTTATAATAAAGTTTAAGTATGTATAAGAGACATGGCTAAATAATTAGTACATACTTATAAAATTGACAAAGTTAAACAACACTAAACTAAACTAAATATTAAAATGAAATAAAAGTTAATTTTAAGACAAAATTAAGATTTCATCTCCCTACATCATAATATATTACCAACTTAAATCTTTGCCCCATAAGATTAAACATTCTCTCAGTTTAAAATGTATACTAGTTAAAGTTAAAACCAAGTTCGTAAAGTTATTTTGACCGATGCATTATCTACCAAACATATGTACACATTACAACACCTCGTCGCTAACCGATTAAACCGATTACGGAATTAGACTAACTGATAAAAATAAATCGGTAACAAATAATTATTATCTCTAAGATATGACACCTGACCAAAGAAAATGCGTATTACAGATACTGACATACTTATATGTGTTTACTTACCTTTTATGATATTTTTCCTTAAAACTATAAAAAAACTTTTTGATGTAAATTAAATAACTTTTTAATTAAACATTAGTATTCATATTTATCGATTTTCGTGTTAAAATTTAATATATTGTTAGAAAAGAAAACACGTTATGATTTTTAAAAAAGTTGACTAGTCAATGGCCGATTAATAAAAGATGAACCTAAAATAAAACATATTCATAATAAAATAAAAAATAGTCAAGACTTATTAGGGCAGAGTTTCTTCCCTTGACCATAGGAAAAACAGTGTCAGATTGTCAGTAATAGGTGGCTTGAGGGTTGCTAGTTTAATAATTGATTATCATTTAATAAGTCTGTACTGATTTTGATGAAATTCACAACAGTTACTTCATAGCGTGGTGAAGAGATATAATTTGTAATATTTGATAGTGTCTTGTTATAATATAGTATTTTTTTTCCAGCTCAAAGGACGATGAAATTGACGGGAACTGCATAGTACGAGCTCGTGGTCTACCTTGGCAGTCTTCGGACCAGGATATAGCTAAGTTCTTCAGGGGACTCAATGTTGCTAAGTCAGTACATCCCTACTAATATTATAAATGCGAAAGTAACTCTGTCTGTCTGTCTGTTACGCTTTCACGCCTAAACCACTGAACTGATTTTAATTAAATTAAAAATACAGAGATAGAGTTGACCTTGAGAAAGAACAAGATAGTTTTTATCCCAGACTTTTGAAAGGTTCTCTTGGAAACGCGATTTAACCGAACTCCACGCGGGCGAAGCTGCGGGCGGAAAGCTAGTTAAAACTAATACTAAAAACAAATGGTAGCTTCCCAGTTGTATTTATACTATACTAGTTTTTCCCCGTGATTTCGTCCGCTTTAAGTTCGTCTTTAGTAATATATGTATATCTTACCGGACGAACTCTATTCCGCCTTAGAGGCCGTAAATAACCAGATATTGGAGTTTGTTAAGTTCTTTCATTACGATCGAACAGAATTAAATATCCTATGTCCGTCTCCTAGTTCTAAGCTATCTCCTTACCAATTTACAACCATATCCTACAGTCGTTCTTGAGTTATAAATAGTGTAACTAACACTACTTTCTTTTATATATATAACAATTAAAATAAACTTACTTGCTTACTACATACTTAATACTTACTTAAGTAGTCTAAGAGTTTTACCTTTACTGATAACTTTATACAAGCCTAATATTACTTCCAATTTTATCAGTAATAGTCTCTTGTAACTGGTGTATTATCTTCAGGGGTGGAGTAGCTCTTTGTCTATCACCTCAAGGCAGACGGAACGGGGAGGCGTTAGTACGTTTCGTGTCTCAAGAACACAGGGACATGGCGCTCAAGAGACACAAACATCACATCGGACCTCGGTACATAGAGGTAAACAACATAATAATACCTAATCTTAGTTAAAACTTTGCTTTGAGCTTCAAAATTAGTAAACATTGCCTTTTATATCAAGTTCAAGTCATACAGAGCAGACCAACTGTCTTTAAAAAGTTATTTATCAGAATAACTTGTAATTTTATATAATTAATCTAAAAACTTTATCGATAACAAATATTCTAGCACGAGGCACAAGTTATAATATAGGCACAGAGCACAGATAATAGAAAATATATCTATCACCTATCCGCATACTAACAATAAGTGTTTTGTGACCCAGATGAGTACTAGTGCCATAGTGGCAGAAAACTTGAAATAACACTTTTAGTAAAACTATAATTTTACTTTATAAATTGACTTCCTCCTAAAATTATTCCTTATGCCATTCTTTACTTAATAAAATTAAAGTTATACATTATTTTAATCATTACTAATCTTTTATATCAGGTGTACCGTGCCAGCGGAGAAGATTTCCTATCAGTGGCTGGTGGCGCCACCTGTGAGGCAGCGGCCTTCCTGTCACGAGGGGCGCAGGTTATAGTGCGAATGAGAGGCCTGCCTTATGACGCGACCCCGCAACAAGTTGTGAGTAGAGAAAGAGATAGACAGATAAGAGAGAGAGAAGAATAATAATATGGAGTAATAGCTCTGATAGAAGTAAACTAAAATTTATTTATATATAAACTCAATTTTATTAAAAGAAAAAATATACATTGAATTAACAATGTAGAACTACCTTATTTTTATGTGCAGTCAGTCAGTTATTTAACTTAAATCTTAAAGAGATTTCGACAGAATGAAATTAATTATAATCATAGAATTTGCTTTTTGTTTTAAAGAGATTCATAAAAATCATATATTTAGTCCACATAACGTTATGGAGCTATCCTCTGTAAGAAATTCGTTAACCGACTGTACAAATGTGTATAATGAATATTTGTTACAAATTCTACTGTTAAATTGAAACTTACAAAACTTGTATGTCTTAATAAAACTAGTACCCTTATGATAAGTTTGCATCATCAAACTAAATACAGAGCGTTTTCAGTTCATTAGTATCAATATATTCATCATACACTATAAAACACCTTAATATTCTGCATTTTAGACGATGAAAACTTGTATTAATGACATAAAACCTAAATTAATAAGAGATTGTTTTGATAAAGTTGTTCAGTTTGCATGTATGAACTATGGACGGGAAATCTAGCTTATACCTGGGTTTTTAGTCCAATGATGAAAACTCTAAATAACCCATATTATTCTGGAAAAGTTATCCAGTTCTTTGTTATATATAAATAATGTATTTTTCTTCCAACAGCTGGAATTCTTCTCATCGGGCGAAGACCCAGTCCAAGTTTTAGATGGTGCAGACGGAGTGTTATTCGTGCGTCGAGCAGATGGCCGCGCTACGGGAGATGCTTTTGTCTTATTCAGCAAAGAGGCCGACGCTCCCAAAGCATTAGCAAGACATAGGAAACTTATAGGAGCCAGATATATTGAGCTGTTCAGGAGTACAACGGCTGAGGTTCAACAGGTCAGCTATTGGTTCATATTTACTAGCTGCGCCCCCCGGTGTTATTTGGATTTCCGGGATGTAAAGTAGCCTATATGTTATTCTTAAACGTCAGCTTCCTGTATACAAAATTTTATCAAAATCGCTTCAGCCGTTTGAGCGTGAAGAAGTAACAAACATACACACAAACTCACAAACTTTGGCAATTATAATATTAGTAGGATTTATGAAAAACCTTCATTCATCAACAGTTCAATAATGCCCTAAACTTACAAGGGACTTGTTTGTGAATTGTAAGTAATAAGTAGTGTGATTAATAAAGAAATATGTTCTCAAGAACAGATGGTATCAGTGATTGAACTAGTGTCAAAATTAGTTATCAACCTTATCACGGATATTGATTTGAAAATTATATTCCAAGATAATTAATTATATGTATGATATAATCTTATTAATCCTACTGATATACTAAAAGTTTAAATTGGTCAGGATGAATGGATGTTTGTTACTAGTTTACGCAAAAGTTACTGAACAGATTTTGATGAAACTTTAGTGATGTAATTTAAATATCGGAATGATACATAGAATATAGTTTCTTCAAAAAAATTCTTTACTTCCATAAAGAATGTGACAGGAAATTTTTATTTTATATGAAACGACATGCCAGACAGTGTAGGTGGCGCAAGTTGGTTACTATAAGTATTTTATTTAGGTATACATTACTAATTTGACTTAAAACCTAATTGCGAACACCACACGGATGTATTAAAGGCATAAACTAATTCATAAAAGTTGTGAATGAATAAGGTATAGTAATTTTATAATATATATGTAAATTAATAAATTAGATATCTATCCATTATTTTATATGTACAGCCTGCCCTTGAGGAACACTGGTAAGAATCGGATGCACTTATTTTATATCCTGTTACTAGTCTGGTTAATAAAATATGTTTATTTTATTATATGTAGATAGTAAACTCATTTTCATAAGTTTAAAAATAGTTTTGGTCATTATCATAGAAAACGACAGCTATATATACATACATATATATCTTTTTGTTGTATATTCCAGGTGTTAAACCGCTCGTTGGAGAGTCGTGGCCAGACGCCTGGAGCCCAGGAGTTGGTGCCAGTGACTCTCGTTCCACAACACGTCATCACTTCCGGTACAGCCAAAGACTGTGTGAGACTCCGAGGCCTGCCTTATGAGGCACAGGTGAGAAACATTATGAACTACAAATGTACTAGACTGCTATAATATAATATTAGGTGTACAACTTTGCTTCCGCCGTTTTTTTCCGAAATTCGAGGCTTTATTGTAAAAAACTGGTTATACATTTATGATTCAAAGTATTGTCCATCGCTGGCCACTACTTTCTCCTATCTTTCGGGCAGCATACGAATCCCGCGTTGTAAAAACTGGTCATCTTTTGAAGCGATCCACAAATAGATCCAATTTTTAACTTCTTCATAAGACCGGAAGTGCTGGTCAGCCAGGCCGTGTGCCATTGATCGAAAGTAGTGATAGTCCGAGGGAGCAACGTCTGGAGAATACAGCGGGTGGGGTAGGACTTCCCATTTCAACGTTTCCAAGTATGTCTTGACCACTTTCGCAACATGGGGTCGAGCATTGTCGTGCTGTAAAATCACTTTATCATGTATCTCGTTGTATTGCGGCCGTTTGTCTTTCAATGCTCGGCTCAAACGCATTAATTGCGTTCGATAACTATCGCCTGTGATTGTTTCAGTCGGTTTTAACAACTCATAATGCACTACGCCAAGCTGGTCCTACCAAATATAGAGCATACCTTGGAACCGTGAATATTCGGTTTGGCCGTCGACGTGGAAGCATGGCCAGGATATCCCCATAATTTTTTGCGCTTGGGATTATCGCAATGAACCCATTTTTCGTCCCCAGCCACAATGCGATGCAGAAATCCTTTCCGCCTTTGCCTTGCAAGCAGCTATTCACAAGCAAACAAACGCCGTTCAACATCTCTCGGCTTCAACTCGTACGGCACCCAATTTCCTTGTTTCTGAATCATTCCCATGACTTTCAGGCGTTTTGAAATGGCTTGTTGCATCACTCCCAATGATCCTGCCAATTCTTGTTGCGTTTGACACGAGTCTTGATCAAGTAATGCCTCCAATTCTGCATCTTCATAAACCTTCCCTCTTCCACCGCCATGCCGGTCTTCGACGTCAAAATTACCATTCTTGAAGCGTTGAAACCACTCTCGGCACGTTCTATTACTAATAGCAGCCTCACCATAGGTATTTGAGAGCATTCGATGAGCCACAGCCGCAGATTTCTTCATATTAAAGCAGAAAATTAAAACCTCCCGCAAATGACGAGAATTTGGCTCGTAAGCTGACATGTTTAATCGAGAATAACTTTATGATGCAGACACAAATCGACTAATATTTCGATGGCGTTATGTTTACAAATGCCTAAGCTTATTGTGTGACATCTACGATCTATTTATTTCGACTACCACTTACCGCTACAACCATCTATTGCAAAACGGCGGAAGCAAAGTTGTACACCTATGTATAATATAATAATACTAGGTTTAAAGAAGTTTACTTCCAAAAAGAACAAAGTTCGATTACAAAGGAAATTTTAAAATTATAATTACAAATAATAAACTTTAGTGATACTAAACAAGATCAGTGAAATCATCTAATATATGGGTTCTTAATAGTTTTTTAAATATATTTGGAGTTTTTGAATTAACAACACTTAGAGGCAGAGTTATACAACTTTAACCATATTGTTTGAGATGCAGTATCAAATTTGTTTTTCAATGTTCGGTGTTACTAAAAATAATGTGTTACAAAATGACTAAAGCCAATACTTATAGTTTACACATATAAGGTTATTCTTAAATGTTACCATTAATAAATTAGAATGGTTCAGTCATAATAATTGTAAGGATTATAGTATATTATAATTAGTACGGCACAGATGGCGCTACTTGATGACTGCTTTAGCTTAGCTTTAATGCAGATTTTAAACATTATTTGTAACAGAAACAAATATAAATTCATTATACAATAAAATATTTTTTCTCATATATACTTGATGGTATTAAAAAAAATTATGTTATATAAATGTTTCCTGTATATAAATTTCAGGTGGAGCATATCTTGACGTTCTTGGACGAGTTCGCTAAGAACATAGTGATGCAAGGAGTTCATATGGTGTATAATGCGCAGGTACGACAACGAAAGAACATATATGTATATTATATAACATATAGTATAAGATCTTTTTCCGAGTCATATATACTTTCTAAGAGTATTTAGACATCACTGATTAATGCATTCCCAAAAGAGGGTTGATGTCAGGCAGGCGGCCGTAAAAACAATTAGCCAAAACTATTTAAAGCATGTAAGGCAGACCCTGGCTAAAGCTAGGAAATTGCCAGGTAGAAGAAGATAGTATAAGTTCTAGATATAATCTGATGAAATCTAAGACTTTTACAAGTGACATTAATTTAAATGGAACTAATATTTTTGGGATTTATTACGCTTGTTTTATTTTTGTAAAAAAACCATATACTCCAAATTCCAAACGTTTCGACTACTTTTCAGCAACCATGATCACGAAAACGACATGCGAATGTCTGTCAGTTGATCCTGTTATTTCTCATCTACCAAATAGTACATACTAGTTGTTATAACTGTTCAATATAATGTGTGTATCACGTGTAAAAAACTACATGTTCCCAACGTTTCGGCTACTTTTCTGAATGTGCATGTCTGTCAGTTGGTCTTGTTACTTATCACCTACTAAATAGAACATATTAGTTTCATTTTAACTGTTGTAACTGTTCATTATAATGTATGTATGTATGTGTCAGGGTCACCCCAGCGGCGAGGCGTTCATTCAGATGGACAGTGAGGCGAGCGCCTTCCTGTGCGCGCAACAGAAACACCACAGATACATGACCTTCGGCAAGAAGCAGAGATACATCGAGGTACTCTATATATATTATATTGAATACTAGCTTTCCGCCCGCAGCTTCGGCCGCTTGAAGTTCGGTTTGGAAACAGACAGACAGAGTTACTTTCGCATTTGTAATATTAGTAGGGATAGATTAAAAATGTACAACACTTTTTTAAGATTTATCAACTTAAAGCGTAAAGGTTCAATCCTGGCAAGTACCAATATGATTTTTCCGAGTCATATGTACGTACTAACAATATTTAGACGCCTATGACAGACGGTGAAGGAAAACACCGTGAAGAAACCTGGACTTATAATTTCATATTTATAAGTTTGAAATCACCAACCCGTCTTGAGCAAGTTTGGTGATTAATGGTCAAACCTTCTCCATGTGAGAAGAGGCCTCTCAGCAGTGGGCTCTGATAGGCTGATGATGATGATGAAGAAGAATAGAGCAAGCCTTGATCATTGTGCCTATCATATAGTAACTACATATATGTATGTATTTCCAGGTGTTCCAGTGTTCGGGTGACGACATGAACCTGGTGTTAACAGGCGGCGTGGGTCCCTCCCCTCCCAAGGTGCTGTCCCCCGGTACGTGCCTGCCCCCCGCGCCCCGCCTGCTCGCGCACCACATCGCCCAGCAGAGCCTGCTGGCGCGACAACACGAGAACCTCTTGCTATCAATGCGGCCGCCCGTGTTGCCGATTGTACCTATACGTCCGCCCCCCTCCCAATCATACCCCCTCATCCCTCAGTCATTACTGCCCGCCAAGCGTAGTTACGAGCGAGCCTTCGCCCCAGATCCGTCGCCCGCTAAGCGTCAATATATCCAACCATCATTACCTCTGCCGATGTTATCCTATTCAAGTTCTCCTTCTATATTCTCATATGCTAACACCGGTCCTATGTTTACATACAGCGCACTCCCCACTCTGCCGACAGTACCGGGTTATGGCACGGCGTTATCCGCGGCTCTCCCCCCCACTATTACTACTCCCTTCCCTGGCTCGCTATCCATGTTCCCCACTTACCCTTACTACCCCGGGGTGTAATGTAACAGACAGATAGACAGACAGACAGGGTCGCTCGTCAGTAAAAAAACAGGGTATCGATATGACAATAAGCTCAATACTAACGTTATGTAGGACGCCGCGCCTCCATCAGTACATACAGCTCATTGTTTGCGATCTATTATCATTTTTATGTAACAGACATACAAACATACATGTAGTTCTCTCGTTTCCGTAGTATGAGCTGCGTAAGTTAAGTTAAGGTTTAGATCGAGTTTTTGTTGAGTTTGTCCGGACTTTTATTGTTGAACGTTAATATTCTAATGACAGTAGAGTAAGTTCGCGTAAGTTAATTGTTAAGTCTATTAAGTGTTTGTTTTTTCGATCATTGTGATTAATATGTAGACATTCCATTTGTTGTTCGTGGGTAATTAAAGTCTGATGAAAATTTAGTACTTAGAACACGGATTTTATAAGTATAAGAAGTTTATAAGGCCCCCCCTCCTTCCCGACCGTTTCCTTCCCCCTCTCTAATATATAATCATCATACTATATACACCTCACACCACAGGAGTATCTTAATTATAGATTATTTTGGGCATATCTCATGGTGTTGCCATCACCTAGGTACTGGGCTTCACTGGCAATGGCTAATTATATGTTGTTATTTTATATAAATTATTACTAGTTATCTAACAATGAATTATATCGTCTAGTTTATTAGTTTGTTAAGCCGGTTCACACTGGGGCCACATCTATTTTCGTTCAGTGTGGAACGGCTTTATATTGTAATATTTTCGCGGGTCGTGTTATGGAAAATGCATGTTTTGTATGAGCGGTGAGTGCACCATATATATGTTATTTCCCGCATGGTGGTCGGTGCATGCATACATTCGTTTTCCAGATCACGGCGCGCTATTCAACTGGAATTTATATAATCTGTACTCTAAATGTTCGAATACAACTTGTATATGTATCGGAGAGCTTACATAACGGTCATGTGGTTACATAGTATACTCTATTGAGATAGCGACCGACTCTTCGGTCATTGACCCGTGTTCTTGGTCGAAGGGTCGGTTGCCATGGCGACGATGACGTCACGCTCGCTTCATCCTTAGTCTTCCGATAGTCCTTGCCCTCGGTCACGGTTCTGCTTGTGGTATCATGTTTCTATCGGTCTGTCTTTCCTGTGGTCGTGGCCGAGGGCGGTGGTGTGAGGTTTGTCGCTTGTTAGTATCTGTCTCCTGGTGTATCTGGACGAACCTGTGTCGCCGTGTGTAACCTGTATGCATTGGTCCAGGGCCCGTTCATGTCTATATAACACGTAGCTCTAAGTTTATGGACTCTAATGTTTTTTGTTAGATCCTCTAGTTAACATTATACTATAGTTGGCTATATTTTTTTTATCTATATATCTATATATATAAATAAATCGATAATTTTTTCGTGTTAGATCTTCATTATTGAGTTTTCTCGGCGTTGTCGGTGATTGTGCTGTTTGTGGGTTACGTGGGAACGTGTTTAACACATACATACATACAACTAACTGTCACACAAAGGTCTAACATGTACGGTGTACTTAGTCCGAGTCTATCTATACTATCATTGTGTTCGTTCATACGTGTCCCTCGTCAAACGGCACAATCATTCCAATTCCTCAACCTAACAGCTTAGTTAATAATACACATCGATAATACGATAAAAAATCATGGGTTAAACAAGCGTTAAATACAAGCTTGTGATATTATATACCGAAGATGGAAAAGAATTGTGCCTATGCATGGAAACGGTTTAAAGAATCGATGTAAGGCTTCAGTGTGTGTAGAAGGGCTTTGGAGATTATGGGTAAAGGTGGAGTGATCATACGTGAGTATCCGGGACTAGGATAGAGCGACTTCAACTTTATATTAGATTAAATATAACTTAGAATATCTCATAAATATATAAAGGAATGCAGCGTACATTATAAATGATAGAACTTAGTTGAAGTCGCGCGGTAATCGTCGTAAGTTAGCTGCGAGGACTAGCTTGGTGATTGGAGACACGACTGTAACAGTATTGGTGTAACGCACTGCTTGGGTGACATGTTAATACTTCACGGACACGGTGAGTCACTTTGATTATAAGCCTGCTCATCATACATATGAACGACTTGTGACTAACGGATATACCTATATATGTATATATGAGCTGGGGACCTTAACTTACCCCGTCGTGTGTGTAGGTCCGGTGACGTATTACTATCCTGCTATGGGGCCGACGCTGCCCCCGCCGCTGCTGTACTGGGGGTACCCAACGCCCCCCGTTTCGCCCGCACATTACTACCACACGCCGCACCATCCACAGAACATGGTAACTATAACACATATCTTTATATATTTAATTTTTCTGTGAGTGTGAATGTCACTGAACTTCTCTCAAACGACTGAACCGATTTTGATGATTTTTTTTGTGTGTGGCCAAGGGGATCTGGGAATGGTTTAGATTCACAATTTTGACAATGTTTTTTTAATTAATTTTTAATTTATTAGTAGTTGTTGATACAAACTTTTTTTGATTTAACAACTAACTAATATGTCAATCATTCTGTCGCACTTCAAAACACGGAGATTTATGGCTTTAATAGGTAAACTCCAAAAATATAAATAAAAAAACGTAACAGATTTCTTGATTATAGGGCGATACGAAGTGCGCCGGGTCTTCTAGTGTATATATAGAGAGTAAATAGTCGAATCTGTGTTGACAGTTTGATCAGTTATGAAGCTGAACTTGTTTACGTACATTTAACTCGGGAAGTTACGAAGAGTGTTCGTAAGAGATGATCGAAAATTGAGATAGAGACAGAAAGAGATAGAAATATGTTTGATATATTACAGTAGCAGCGAGAGACAGAGACAAACATATTTCTCTCCTTCTCTATTTGACTATTTCTGTTCCAATACATCTCTCTATATAATATTTCCGTGTCATTTCAGATCCCGGAGGTAGTTTCAGTAGGCGGAGGGTCGCCGCTGCCGCTGCCCGCGCCCGCCGCGTGTCCCGAGTGGCCCATCTTTATGGTCAACTGACGAATAACGTGATATAACAGAAAAATCGCTCAAAATTAGTGATTAGAATAAAAATAGAGGATTGTATAACAGACCAAAGCATGTATATACAATAATAGTAGCTCACAACAACTTGCCAACGACACGCGGCTCAAACTAGTGATACTTAATATACAATAAATTATTGTTTTTATTTTTATATGAAAAATATATTTTTTATACAATCAGTCTTCGTGTTGCTATCTACTGACTTATATTGTTGATATTAAAAAAAATGTTTTACAAATATTTAATATATTTTTCTATTTAGTTAAATTATATTAGAAAAAATATATATATTATTATAAATTTTATTATATTTGAATTGTAGTTAATATAGTTATCGAACGAGTTACATACTGTACGAAATGTTTAATAAGAGTTTGGTTGAAGAATAAAGAACTTCACAAAGACGTCTTCAGACGAACCAAATAGTTAATAGACATACAACTTGTGTAGAATAATTGTAAGAAAAACGCTCAAATAGATAAGAAAATTATTGTAGAATAGAATAGATATTACAGATATAACGCCATAAACATGAAAATAGATTTATTAAGACAGAAACGAGAAATGACTTACATAAAACAAACAGGTTAATAAAAAACTTAAGAATACTATTATCATAATAAATAGCGAGTGACTTGCCCTACAGCGGATACAGGACACGCGTAGTTAATATTAAGTTAAGTAAAAGAAAATAACAACAAAATCAATATGTCTTCCATTAGATAAGTTGAGTTGTGATGAGTAGTTAGGATTATCACGACTAACAAATATTTATATATATCGATACCTCCCACGTAAGTTGTTGTATCTCCAAAACTAAATTAACAGTAGAGCGTTTCAAAGATTCAAATTAAAACAAAATCTGAAAAAATTGAAAATTACAACATTAGGCGTCTGACAAATCCTTTAAAAAAAATTTTTTTGTTGTTTTTGTACTTTGATCCATAATGGGATATTTTTCAGAAAAAAGCAACATAGTATTTTTTTGGCATACAACTTACGTGGGAGATATCGATATATAATATATTATGACGACGGATAGTTAAAAATATTATTAATAATAGCAATACGAGCGTCGTAGATATGGTCAGTTTTAATTTATATAAATCATGATTTTATATCAAAAATACTTTTTTATTAAGTACATGATCCTAGTGAGGTTTTTTCCATGACTTTAATATCATGACCATGATATATTAATATATAAATAGATGGCTCCCATGTATAAGGGTATATATAGCAATTTAGCCATTTGTACAAGATACATTGAAATCAAACTTAAAACTTCTCTACTGAACGATTTCAATTTTACACATTGACCCTTTTACATAGGAGCCATCGATATATCTTAAACTAAGTCTCTGTTAGTTGATGTATTTTTTATAATCTGGAATCGAATCTGGTTTATAATTTATAAATTTTATTGAGATATTATTTAATTCTTATTATTGTTATTGTAGGACGAGATCACAAAATGCATATACATATATATATATTTTTAAAGTGATTTTGTTTTTAGATTTTAAATTTGTTACCTATATGTAATGTCTATATTTTTTTATCGTCGAGATATATTTTATTATGTTTCTGCCAGCGCATGCGCAGTCCGCGTTTAGTTTATCTTTAGTGTAGTCGAAATATTATGATGTGCAATGTTTAGTAAATAGATATTTCGATGTTTAATGCCAAAACTGTTTGGTTTATCATACAAAGTAGTGAATTGTTTGAATAAATATATTAATATAATTATAGTTATTTTTTTTATCACACAAATTAACATCACATCCACACTCACCCACCATCTCAATAAACGAGGAATAGATATGTAACCTTCAAATTATTCTAAAATGACTATATACTGCTATTTAAAGTACAATACTTTGCTGCAATCTTTACCTTAGATATATTTATTCTTTTATACTGCATTTAATTCAAATATTATTTTAATAACATTGTTTTTATTAGCTATTTTTCTGTCATACATTCATATCAATAAATAAGAACAAAAGTTACTCTTTTACACTGCACAATTGTCACAATACTCTGTATTACAATTTCATGATACCATATTATCAACTAGAAATTTAAACTTCATGAAAACACAATCAATAACCAGAACATAAATTAATATGAAAGTAATTCTTATAGATAAGTATTGATTTAAAAATTGTATTTTTGAGTTTTAACTAACAATAAAATTTACCTATTATTTTTCCTTAAGACATCCGGAATCCATCTTGACTCAAGCATCTGTTTTTTTAGCATTGTCCTTGTTAATCCGAAAGAATGTTCATAGAAAACCGAGTGTAATGTCAGCTCTTTCGCCAATATTTTAAATCTATCCAAGTTTGTTTTAGATCATGTCGGCAGATAAAGATGGTGTCGGTAATATTAGGGTTTACCTCATTAAAAAGATATGCGAACTCCTTTAATTATTCTGCAGATGTAATTCGGTACCTATAAATTAACCAGGATATCGATATGTTTTTTAATAGTTGATATTTATTCATACTTTATCTGCCCCGCCCCAGTTTTTTGGATATAGGTAGACAGTCAATACATCAAATAATATTTTTGAAGACGGAGAAACGGTCTGTTAATCCCCACGATAAAAAATTCTCCATTACCCGTTTTCATAAATCCTCCCTTCAAGATTCTATGAATACCACAAATAGTTCAAGGAACATCTTTGGTTCACTTAGAGTATTCAAATGTCATCAAAAAAAATTTATTATTATTTACGGGAATTTTGTTTTTCTCAGCTCGTAAGCTGGTGTAAACTACATTCACGGATATAAATCAAGTGAATGAAGTATGTGGTGTGTATTATTTATGTAAATACTATTTATGTGTAATATTTATGTTGTTGAGTCATTCTCTTCTAATTGCATGAACTTTCTTACTATTCTACATGTGTTCAAAATAGCAGCTTTCTGTATGGGGATATAGAGGGACTCATTTAGATCTAATAACCTTAGACTATGGAGGAGATGGTTTGGGACGACACCTGTTGCGGAGATAACTATAGGGATGATGTACACCTTTTCTTGTTTCCAGATTCTTGTAACTTCTTCCTTAAGCTCGTTATATTTATTTATTTTCAGCGATAGTTTTCTGTAGATTGTGTGTATTGGGTACTGCTATGTCTATAAGGTAAGTGACTTTATTTATTTTATCCTGTAGAGTTATGTCTGGTCTGTTATAGTGAATGGTCTTGTCGGTTAGAATGGCTAACGTAATACATTTTATGTGTAGCATTTTCTAAGATTGTTTGTGGTGTGTATTTGTAATATGGCGAATTATGATTCGACGGTCGGTGGATGCAATGAAACCAAAATTATTTGACTTTATTTAATTATAAACTAAGTTACAACTAGGTTTGCGACTATGTTGCACAAAGGTTGAACAAATAGTGACATTAAATCTAATGAAATTCTTAAAAAAATACATATTATAATCTAAAAACATAAAAGAAATATAAAACCAAAAACTGTCTTCACACGGAACTGCTGAGTCAGACCGGTGTAGAATAGCCGAGTTTACCCAGAAGCTAAGGCGTCCTCTGATTACATCGTATAAAGATAATTATATTTTAATTAAACGACAACTTATTACACCGTCACATAACAGGCGTTTTTGTTTTTGTATAAGTTTAAGTTTGAGTGCTAGTTTTTGTGTTTTGTATAAGTTTAAGTTTGAGTGCTAGTTTTTGATGAATGATATTGCTTACCTGGTTGTGTCTATGTGTGTAGTCTGTCTGTGTGAGGGTTGTGCTTGCTCCTGTTATGTGTTGTATGGTCTCTGGTTGGATATGACATTTACGGCATTTATCATTTGTGATAGTGGGATCTTTGATAATATATTTTTTGTATTTTTCATGTTGATGATTTGGTCTTCGGTTTCTGGAAATAGGTTTCCTATTTTGAGCCATTTGTTCGATGCTATTGTATTAATATGGGGCTGTTCTAAGTCATGAGGGCGTCCATGTAGTACCTTCTTTTTCCAATTTTCTAGTTTTTGCTTTTGAGAATCATCAATACAGTCATTACTAGTATATCCTTGCTCACTTTTGTTTAATGGGGTATAGTTAATGTCATTTACAACTATTGCTTTATGTATGTTACTAGAGCGAGATTTTAAATGAAAGAATATTTTGAATGTATTAATTTGTTTTTGCCAGAGATTATAAATATCTATCAATCCCCTTCCTCCATTTTGTCTTTTGAGTGTTAGGCGCTCTATTGCAGATTTAGGGTGGAGATTATTGTGTTAGAATTGTACGTGTATTTCGTTTTATTTATTTTGTCAGTTTTAGACCATTTTATGATTCCAAATGAGTATGTCAGTATAGGTATAGCATATGTACATAGTAATGGCTTTGATAAGATTTTTTCCAGAGAGTTAAGTTTTACTTACTAATAACGTTTAGTCGTCTTTTATATTCTATTGTAAGCGTATGTTTGATTGATGTATGATCGAGTCCATTAAGTTGATTATATCCTAAGTATTTATATAAATCTGTTGGTTCCATAGCTGTTATTGTATCAGAAGTTATTGCGTAGTTACCCGGTTTTGTTTTTCCTTTTATTATATGTATTGTTTTGCACTTATCTAATTCAAATTGCATGTTGATATCCGAGCTAAACTCGTTTGTTACTTCTATTAGTTTTTTCATATCTTTATCGCTCTTTGCATATAATTTTATGTCGTCCATATAAATCAGATGTGATATTATTGTTTCCTCTGTACTTTTAATAGGATATCCTACTCGGCAACGGTGTAATAGGTGCGATAAGGGGTTCAGGGCGAGGCAGAACCATAGGGGACTCAAGGAGTCACCTTGATAGATCCCTTTCTTAATCTGAATCTGTCGTGTAGCAATAGTATTTTGGCCATAGTTAAGGTTGTGTTGTTTTCCAGTATGTCATTATTTTACGCAAGAATTCTATTATTTTTGAGTCTATCTTATATAT